ACGAGGTGTGTGCAGAGGAGAGAAAGGAGAGAAGGGAGGGAGGGGGTCGTGGGGGTGAGCAGCGGCCCCCAAAAAAAAAAAAAGTTTTGGGGACTGATAGCTAGGGTGGAGGTGGGTACCGTACAGAGGTTGGGGGTGGGTACTTGGTAGGTGCAAAAGATGGAAGGGAGGGAGCGGGGTAGATGGGTTAGTGTGCGGGGAGGTGGGTGCAGGGAAGAGAAGGGAGGGAGAAGGATCGGGAAGGGAGGCAAGATGCCCAGAAAAGTTTTTTTTTTTTTTTTTTTTTTGAAGTTTATAATTTTTTAGGATTTAAGTGGGTCACGTGGCGCCAAGTTATTGTCCAGGTAAGCGCCACGTCATTAATTAACAGATATTCTGTCGGAAAACTTAACGGGAAGGAACTCACTTTAAAAAACTCCTTCGTATTTCTTTTATTTCAATATTTACACTTTTTGAGCCATTACTTAAAACAATTTGTAAATTTGTTTTTGTGATTGATTATTCCAAAAGAGAAAGAGATCATCTCCGAATCTCTTCCATCAAAGTTCACAGATTAAGTGATCCGGATTCTTAAAATTTGATCTAACGGTTAGAAACAGATGCCCTTTTTAAAAATTATAATAATTTTAGCCGTTAAATCAAATTTCAAGGGTCTAAATCACTTAATTCGTGAAATTTGGTGGAAGAGATTCGGAGAGGATCTCTTTCCTTCCAAAAGTGCTACTATGTCCCTTCCCTTTTTTTTTTTTTTTTTTTTTTTGAACTTTAACGAGAAGTTTCCGATACTGTTTACATTAACGAAAAATCATATTTTTACACTAAAAAAATCAATCATGGTACTATTCACTTTACCCTTTATTTTATCATTTTCGTTAAAACTTAAAATTTTTAAGCCATTTTTAATATATTTTTTTCCTTCCTTAAATATGAAATTTTGATTCACGTTGTAATAGGCAACAAGCTAGCAAAAGCTCGAACATCCTGGAATTGGGGAAAATTATGCCTACTACCACTGGTCAAAAGACTCTCTCAACTCAATGCCGGCTATTTATCAAAAATATTATTTTTACCAATTATTTATATCGTCTCATTAGTAAAAATGAGATTTTTATGTGTTTACGAGTCTTATCTCTATTAAAGATTAAACAAATAGATGTTAAGTGTAAAATTATTCTTATTTTATTATGCAATGTATTTTTTAAAATCTTAAATATTTTGATCGACATCAATATTAAATGTCTTGTTCGACGTCTTCACTGCATATATGACGGATAGGGATGGGATCCCGTAGGTTACAAACTTTTAAGGTAGGTTCACTCTACAATTTTGATCAATCATCTTCTTAATCATCACGTATAATTCAACTTCAACAATGTTATCCTAATTTCTCAATATGAAGTGTTGATCTTGTGTATAATTGGTACGACACTGTGTTGATTATTTCCAGTTTTATTAAGTATTTTGTCAAGTATCTTGCCTCATGGCAACCAAGTTCAATCAGGACATCAAAGAACTAAAAACATGCACCGTTTATGTACATCTGCCAATGAATTTTAGGACACATATTTTAATTCGTATATCTGAAATTCTGAATCATGATCAACTTTTAATAGCAACGATTATATTACATGATACGCTATATTATTTGACGAGAAAAATTCTCCTACTAGTATAAGTAAACTAAGGGTTGGCTCAGTTGGAAAGCTCCCTGCTTGTGTGTCATCCCACCAAAATTTGAGTCCTGCTGCTAGCAATCCTTGTTGGTGCATGATCTGTCTTAAATTCATATCGGTGACATCTAACAGTTAGGCGCAACGTTAAGTCCTTCCAAATCGAGGTTGTGAGTATGCCCTTAGAGCACTTCCACCCCTTTCAAATCCTCGGGGATAGTCTATTATATTCAATTTAGAAGTGGATATGCACTTGGACAATTATTATTCACTAAAGCAGTTACTGTTCACTGCGAGATTGAATTACCTATAGCCCATGGGGCTTTTTACGGGTGAAATTGCTCTTTATGCGTCATCAAATCCACTGGGCATAGTAGTACAGTTCACATTGTACGTTATATTGGCTGCCATCGAAAGAACAATAAACTAATTTATAGTATGAAACACGTAGTATTCCATACCAACTACATAATATTTATTTATACCCTAATAAGTTAATTTTTTTTAATTAAATAAGCAATGCATGTCTTTTGTGATGGAAGAAGAGTTGTAGTATATATAATATATATTTGATAATTGGCTTTATGTTAATTATAGTTCTGTTCCAATCCAATCAAATATTTAGAAGAAAGTAGAAATTTGGTCTCACTCAAAAAGAAATATTATATTTTGATGATAAATATTAAATAAAGAGTTGAGTTTCACTAAGTATTTGATTAATTTGATGTCACCATATTTTATAAGTTATAACAACGTCGTGCATTGAGGTTAATTTCCATACAAAGCTTTTCGTCTGATTTCACCCCCCTTTTTTTTATAATTATTTTGAGCCTAATTTTTGCACTTCAAGTAGGCCCAATAGGTTCAATCTAGCCTACACTGCAGCCCATTGAGTAAACAGTAATGCGACTAAAATGAGAGGAAAATGTAAAAGGAGAAAACGAGTTACATTGCAGCTCATTAAGCAAATGGTAAGGGCTGGAAAAAAAGTCGATTCAGTTGTGCTGTGAGAATAAGCGGTTGTGAAATAAAGTAGCAGAGTGTTTCGTAAACTTTTTTGTAAAAGTACTTTTCGAAAGAAAAAAAACAGTATGATAGTGTTTGGTAAATTTTTATGTAAAACAGTTGTAACTGTGTAAAATGACCAAAAATGTATAATACTAGATGTGCTATGACAATCCACGACGTCGTTCGCTGGCAACCTCTTCACCTTCGTCTTCCTTTCCCTCATCTTCTCATTCCGCATGGTCGTTGAAAATGAGACCCACCTCCTCACCTCCTTAGTCAACCCTGACCCTTCTCTCAAATCCTTCATCTCCTGCCTCGACCTCGCAGGCACCAGTAATACCAACCATCACTCTCCTAGATCTCCAGCCGAGTCCCCTTTTCCGATCTCTCTCCGTTGCCGACACCGCCCATTTCTTCACCTTACCCGCGTCAGAACCTTAGACGACGATTTCTTCTCCGGCGATGACGACGACAACGCTCGCTCCCTCTTCGGCCCCAATTGAAATTGTGCGCTTCAGCCTCACGTTCAAGGCTGAGAAATTCACCATTTATGATGACAGGGCTAGAGGCAGAGATGGCGACGGAGAAAGCAATGAAAGGGAGGAGAAAGGCAGCGATGAAGAAATGGACGATTAGGCCGTCAATTTGCAATTCTTGATCAACGAATTGGAGCTGGGGGTACATGGCAACGTTGTTCTTCCTCCTGAAAGTGTGAGGAATCAGGAGAAACTTTGAAAATAAGCCACTTTTTGAAGCTGCTTTTTGCAGCTTCCACTTTTTAGCTTTTTTTTTTATCTGAAACTTTGAAAAAAAGCTGGTTTGGGGTGTTTACCAAACACCAAAAACTCTTCTAGCTTTTTCTCATACCGGTTTTTTTTTTAAATCACCTTAACCTTTTTTTTATTATTTTGAGCCTAATTTTTGCACTTCAAGTTGGCCCAATGGGTTCAATCTAGCCTACATTGCAGCCTATTAAGTAAACGGTAATGTGACTAAAATGAGAGGAAAATGCAAAAGGAGAAAACGAGTTCCATTGCAACTCATTAAGCAAATGGTAAGTCTTATCACGAAAATACAACTAAAACGAAAGAGAAGTTGAGAAGGAGAAAACGAGTGTAGAATTACTTCTTTTTGTTAGGAAGTTGGGTATCTGAAATACTCGATATGGTGTATTCCAAAGATGCAGTCAAATTGTGTAAAAGATAGTTGTCGAGTTGATTTGCATATGAATAATGTCGTTAATTTTCTTATGACGAAAAATGAGAATAATAGACAAAATTGTTCTCAATTTAATTATACAGCTTATGCGTATTACAAATATAGGGTTTATAAAAGGTTAATTTCAATTTATTATTCTGAAGTTTTTTGGTTTTCAATATTTTATACATCAAGTTTATTTTGTCATAGTTTGGTACCTAAAGTCATAATTTTGGAATATTTTCATACATCTGTTAAGTTGTCAGTCAGAACTTTTGTTAACTGATGACGTGGCGTGCCATGTGGATAATGAATGGACGTCATGTGTTAATATCGACTCACGTGAATATATTTTTTTAAAACTAAATTAAAAAAAAAAAAAAAACTAATCGTTGAACTCAAATAAAGAACGAAACTGATTCCGAACTTAAAAAAAAAATTTGACAAAATTTTCTCTAAATTGATTGAATCTGAATTAGTTGATATACCAACTTATTGCAAATTTCTATAGTTTCCATCGAAATCAGTTGATGTCAATATGGATATGTACTATACATTAACATTTTCACAAATTTGCATACGTTAATATTTTCACAAATTTATATATCAAGATTTTTACTTATATCGATACTTTAAATACGGTGGATAATTACATGTATCTCAATTTGAATTTAGCAAAGTAAAATTATTTATTAGAAATATCCTAGTGAATTAACAAACGGAAGTCTAACCATCGAGCCGAAATAAAAAAGGAAAAACTAATGAAAAGGGTTTGAAAATTTTGAATTTTAATGATAAGGACAAAATAAATGGTAAAGTGAATAGTACAAGATTGTCTTTTTAGTGTAAAAATATAATTTTTTGTTAAAATAAATTGTACCGTGAGTTTTTCGTTAAAACTTACTGTAAAAAAACAATTGACGTACTGAAATTAAAATCTTGGTGACCCGAATCGTGCTCCTTTTTTAGTTAAAAGGCACTTTACAAATATACCCTTTACTCACATAAGGTATCCCCTCAAAGAGAGCAGAAAGTCGTTGAACCTCACGGGGGATAAGCCCGAAAAATACAAAAAGTAAAGGGGTATTTACGTAAATAAACTGCTATATAATAACTCGCCTTTCCGTTTTCCAGAAGCACAGAAAGGGGCGAGCGGAGCAGAGGAGTTTACGAATTGCCGTTATCCATTTCGGTTTTCTCTCTCTTAATCTCTCAAAGATTTTTACCAAATTTTAGGGTTTTTCTGCAAATCTTTGGAATTTTGAATCCATCCGTCGAGAAAGAACAATGGTTTCCGATTCGATCGCCAGAGCCTCCGACCATGCAGTCCCAAACAACGGCGGCAGGGATTTGGGGAAGAAGAAGAGGGTGAGATTTCAAATTTCAGTTTTTCCTTTCTTTCTTTTTTCTTCCGATTTCTTGAGATTCTAGACGCGAAAGCTTGTTTTTTGATTGATCCTTTTCGATTTGATTGATTTATTTGGGGGTTTTTCAGGCCAGGTCTGCCAAATTGAAGCAGTGCAAGCTCGATGTTCGTCGGGAGCAATGGCTTTCTCAAGGTATGCATGCGATCTTACAATTTCTAAGTTTAATTTTCATTTGCAATTGGAGATGTCGTTAAATTTCGGAGATTTGTGGGTTTTCTATGGAAAGTTATTGTTTTTGGCATTTGATTGGATTTGGTGGCAATTAGGGGCTATGAAGAACAAGGATTGCAAGGAGGAACAGAACATCGTCGTTAAAGCAGGCAAAGAGCGGAATAACAACGGCTCATTTGGTAATCTGGAGATGAGGCCCAGAGGTGGACAGATTGATGGATCCATCCACCATCACCACCACCACCATGACAGCGATATGGAGTCGAACAGTCCGAACAGTTTGACAAGTAGTGTCTTGGGTAGCAACTATTCCGAGACTACCTTTACTAGCAGCAGCAGTAGTAGCAGCGGTGGCTGTTGCTCTGGAAATATCACAGAGGATGAGGAAGGTGGTGGCGATGATGGATGCTTGGACGATTGGGAAGCGGTGGCTGACGCCTTAGCTGCGGATGAGAAACCAAAAAGTCCATGTCCAGAATCGCCCCCAGAGCATGAACCAATTGCCCAAACGGTTTTTCCTCAGGAAACGACTATTGGGTCTGATCGGGTCGAGAATTCAAACCCTCCATACAGCACAGTTATCCCTAAAGCTTCAGGGAATGGCCATGCTTGGAGGCCTGACGATGCATTTCGGCCTCAGAGTCTGCCCAATTTGGCTAAGCAGCTTAGCTTGCCGAATTCAAACCGGAAACATTACAGTTGTGGTGGTGTTCCTTGGGCCTATAACGGTGTTGTGCCTTCCTCATGTCCTATATGCTATGAAGATTTGGATTTCACAGACACGAGCTTTTTGCCTTGCTTGTGCGGATTCCGGCTCTGCCTTTTCTGCCACAATAGGATTATGGAGGAGGATGGTCGCTGTCCCGGCTGCAGGAAGCCATACGAGCATGAGCCTGTTGAGGCAGAGACAAGTGTGCATGGAGGAAGTCTCACATTTCGGCTGCCTCGTTCTTGTAGCATGATCACAAGGTCCTAAGGAGAGCTTCTGCTTTTCCTGAGATATGTATGCTGGTCTCTGGTTTTTTGTTTCATGTGTTTTGCGTGTTCTACAGTCTTAGTATTTGATTTCGCTAGTTAGATGTGGGTATAGGGTTTTGAGCGCCCGGAATTGACCTGCTTCTATTTTGAGTTGGTTCTTATCTGTATGGTGCATTTGCTGATGTAGAGAACTCAGTGACTCAGTGTCTTATGTGAATAGATAAGGTGGTATAGAAATTCAATACATGATACCATTATACTCTGGTATGCTACTTCTTTTAGTTTTATTTTTGCCTAGATTTCCTCCTTGTATATTTAATTGTCCCATTGATTGTCATGGTTTGATTTTGGTTTATTGACATTGCTAATTGATGATGTAGAAGGCATCCTTCCTGATCCTGGATGAGTTGTTCCTAATGGTTTAAACTCTATAGTTTAGTTGTACGTCTCTATGGCTGGATTTGGATTCAAACATGAGGTCTGTTTCATTAATCTCAGCTGTTAAATCATGGTAATGTAGAAATTTTGGATCTTCTTTGTGGTCCATTAATATCTTTGTTTTAACTTCTGAGAACAATGTTATACACCCACCTGTTTATACCATTAATGTAGGGGATATTAGTCTTCTAAGATTATGGTGTGTACAATTTTCATGTGGAACTTCATCTGGGTAAGATTCTGTACGTGGGCGTCAGTCGTTTAAGATTAACATGGATATTGGCAAACCTTAATCTACAGTTATTTGTGCTGGTTACATGTTTCATGTGAGAGAATAGGGTACAATGTCAAGAGGGAACCTAGGAGCTTCTCTTGCTTAGGATAGTGTTGGTACCATCGTCGAGGGCATTTTCCCCTGTCGAGGGCTATACACCTATTCAACTTTTATGTATGGATTCTAATGAGCTATGCAGCTTTTGATCATATTGCTGCTTTCCTCTTTATGAAATTTGCTTCATTTCTGTTTAGCTTGATAAGTTGGTTGTCTTTTAAGGCACGAAGGTATTATACAGTACTTATGATGCTTTAGATTTAGTTCTAGTTATCTTTTATCCCTTTCGACAAAAACATAAAGAGGGTTATCTTTTTATCCCTCAAGAACCCGGAGATAATGACTCCGGTCACTTGGAAGTCATGGCTTTTCGTGTTCTGTCACGGTTTCACTTGTCTGTAATCTGTATGCATGGAGTCTGTGTTCTTTCTCAAGCAGCCTCAAATGTTTCACTAGCATCTTTCATACATGAATGGTTTGAACTTTGATACATCAAATTTTGCCTTCTACGCATAATGAAACTATTCATGTCTTGATATTTACTGTTACATTTTCGAAATCATATTCATATTTACTGTTATGTTGAAAACGCGTCGTGGCGAACTAATCTCATCTCTCTTGTGCATGTACAGTGGGGAAGCCATTTACAAATGGTCCCGACAGTCCAGCAAACTAATGTTATTTTGTGACCCTTCTGGTTGTCTTAGACATGTTATGTGTTCGGAGCATTTAATGTATTATCTGAAAGTGATTTGTAGCAAACTCATTCGAATTATGTTTTTCTATGATTAGTTCTTTTTAGTTTGATCTCGCGTACGTCGGACATAGCGAACTTGACCTCGAAAACGAACAAATCCACGAAAAATTCAGGTTGTAACTGGTAAATACAATGATTTTGCTGTTATTCTGCAAGGCTTACAGGAACAGGCAAACATGTTATTATCGGTCCCTACTGCTACGCTTGCACATTTCCTAAACCATACATGAGTCTCGAAATTGTTGCTGTTTTGAGGTCAGTGGGGAGCCTGCTCCACCACTTGTCGAAGGTGGACGACTTCAGCAACACATCCGTACCGATCAGCCCGTCCTGAATCCATTTTCCTACTTGCTCCTGAACTCTCAAAACCCTCTCCCTTTCCCCATACACCGCCGCGAAGTTTCCCGACAGCTTGTGCAACTCCTCCACATCTGCCCAGAAGCAGGACTCCCCGCATGAACCAGTTTGCAGTTTCTGTTCGTGCTCGAGCCATCTTTGCGTGCATTTGTATCGCTTTGGCCTGCCTTTCTTCATATAAGGTCCTGTGTCTTCGTCCTTGGAGTGCCTGTAGTAGTTGGCAACATCGAGAGGCTCGACAATGCGGCGAAACCTGGTTCCTAGATTTATCCACTCCTTCGTAGCCTCGAGTTCATCGGGAAGGTCGTATCTTTTGAGCATCTCAACGATCTCATCCCATATACCTGTTAGCTCAATCCTGCTCAAATTAGCCTTGAAATCTGTCTTGTCTTTATGAATTTTGAAGGCGTCGTAATATCCGACAGTGTGCTCGCATGAGGCTCGGTACTCCTCGATTACATTCAAATGTTTCCAGATCATCACCATTTTTGAACTTACCTTTTCCTGGTTTCTTCGTTTTTGCTTCTCGAATTCTCCCGCTGCGCGAAGGCATAATCTAGCCTTTTCGCTCTGCGATTTTAGACATCGTTAGAATGTATTATTTTGAAAAGAAGCAAATATAGTATCATTGAAACGAAAAGAGTACTTACCAAGCCAAGGTCATCAAAGAAACCATCTGAGGCTAAGGGGAGCGTTTCTAGGTTATCATCACAAGTCACACTCTGCATGTCCAAGCTGCCTTCAAGCTCATTCTCGTAGGCCAAATGCTCGTTTATGCATTTAAGCACGATCGTTGCCCATTCAGTTTCGCTGCTCCATTGACACGAGTAGAACAAGACTTGCAGCACAGCTTCAGGGTTTTTCATAAGAACCAATTTCCCGTTCCCGGTGCAAAAAATGTAAGTTCCGAAGGGTTTGTACGGGCTTAGCTCGACGAACTTTTTTACAGTTTCCAGTAATAGGTTGGTACTCCCCTGTAGTTTGGAGGCAGCATGAGTTGTAAGAGATGCTGCATTTCTCATCACATTTGTAAACAAATGGAAGGCCTCCATGGATGATCCAATCGATTCACTCGCGTGAGCGGGGGAATTTGGATCGAAGAAGGGGAGGATCCTCTCGAAATCATGTTGAATCGACGAGAGCGGAGCAAGCAAAATTCTAGGGACAATGTCATATCTCTTGACAAAATGTATTAAGTATTGAGACCAATTTTCTCTCCTGAGGGCATGGGAAATAATATGGTTACCAATAAGGGGAGATCCGAATGTCACACAGAAAAATGTTCCATTGCTTTGTTTGGGATAATTTTCCAAGCACCAGATTGTGGTCAGCACAGCAGTTGCTCCGCCGGTTGAGTGGCCGGTAAATACTATTCTCTTCCTTTCATTGATAGCCTCTTGCACCTGAGAGAATTAGGAATGAAAGACCATCTGAATTACTAATTAACATCCTGCAACACATTATATATGGGCCTACTAAAGCATAGCCAACAGGTGTAGGATTTTATTATACGGGCTGTGATATCTACACTTCTTTTTACTTCTTACATACCCTTCTAATTTTCAACCGTCAGATCGGATGAATTGAAAATGATCAAAGGACAGAAATCTACAAGAGGTGTGTGAGAAGTAAAAATGATGTGTGAATAGCACACTCCTATTATAAAACGTCTCAGTGTTATTAGGTTAGTAAACTACGAAAAAAGCTTGAAAACTGTACATTTTATACACTTAAATGGTTCATCGAGAGGAAAAATCCCTCTACCATTCACTTGTTTTGTTCTAGCTGATTCTTAATTGCATAAATGCTTTGGTGCCCTCCTCATATAAAGTCGGAAAGCTAATTTTCTAAAATATTGGATTTGAAGTGTTTTTCTTTAAGGCATAACGCTATTAAGTCCTTATAGATGAAAAATCCGCATTAGTTTTAGCACTTATATATTATTTTCATCGTGAATACACTCATTTGTATATTGTGTTTAATATAAAAATGTGGTTTTTCGTTAAAATGAACGATACTAGAAACTTTTCGTTAAAGTTCTCATAGATATTATGTATGTGGCAAAATCTACAATTAGCAACTATAGAAAATGAATATAAATGACGATCAAGCCAACATGTTTTCCCACTTTACGAAGGTTGGGAGAACGTTTATAGCATGCAACATTACTTTTGCTTTGCAAAAATACTGTTTTCGATTACATGTGATTTTTCAATAACAAAGAAGCAACATTTCTGTTGCGCTCGCCCTCAACTATAGTCTATAGCAAATGAATAAAAATAACAAATACCTTATTTTTAAGCTGGGAATTCTGCAATAAATGTTCAAACTTTTGCAGAAAGGCTTGGTTGAAACTTGCAATTGCAAAATCTTGGTGCTCATCAGGTCCTGCAGCTTCATCATAATAACCTATGCATTTCATGGAAGGAAAGAGTGAAAGTTGGATCTTTTTGTCCCCAAAAGCACTTTCTCCAGAAGCCCAACTCTCCACAGACCAAGATCCTGGGAAGCTGAAAACAACATCTGATGATCCTGCAGAAAATTTTTCGACACGAAACGGATCATCTGGGAATTTGTGTGCCTGGAAGGAAAGATAACAGCTTTTCTTGATAAGGTCCTCACTTATATTCAACATCTCTCCAAGCCTTTCACTACCCATTTTTCTGAATTATGGTATTTTGGTGTTTTTTCTTTGTTCTGGTTTTTTGATGATTTGATTTGGGTTTTGATTTGGGTCTTGCGGCTCGGAGATGGTGGGATGGATGAGGAAATTAAAAGGATACCATTGAAGCATTGACCAAAGACTTGGTCTAACAGGCGTATACAATAAATACTCTAATTTTGTGTTTTGAGTAAATTGTAACAATGGTCTCTTAATTTTAATTCAATTGAAGTAATGATCCCTCAATTTAAACTCAATTGTGGCAATGATTATTCCAACATAACTCATTTTGACAAAATTCTGACGAAGTTGACGAAAAGGATCATAGCTACACGTTTTAATGAGTTAAGGAACTTCAATTGTAGCAATGATCATTCCAACATAACTTATTTTGATAAAATTCTAATGAAGTTGACGAAAAAAACTATAACTACACATTTTGATCAGTTGATAGACTAATGGTAATGAATTTTTATTTAACGGACTATTACTTTAATTTGATTAAAATTGAAAAATTATTGCTAAAATTTAGTCTTTGTATTTTTAGTAAGAGTTCAAACAGTATTTTATGAATAACGTGGACGAGATATTGCAATCCAAGTTTCTATTGCCTGTAAACAATTATTGCTTGACGTGGTTGACGGCGCTTGACTTGCTGTACTTCACCTGTGAGTCAACCACAACTTCTAGGAACGATAGGTCTTGGCCTTCCACTTTGTTGTAATTTCATTCTTTCTTTATTTGCAGGAAATTATGTTTGCTCTGTCGATTTGGAAATTTACTGTGAAATTGAGCTACAAGGAATCTGTAGTAAGTCGCTGTTTTTGTTTTTAGTGTTGGTTTAGTGTTCTTTCCGTTCTATTTTTAATTTAAAAGTTGTTTCCGATTTAATTTGTGGAAAATGCATTGTAGTTAAGTAATCTGATTTCTACTTAAACTCGTAGATTATTGTGGTACTTTTTAAGTGTATAATTACGTCCATCCGTATCCACATAGAGATTTTTAATGTGCTGAAAACACGGTTCGTTACATCAAGTGTAATAATACAGTTAGTTGGAAATTTGAAAAGAAAAAATTCCAATCGATTGTATTATAATACTTGATATATTAGACCGTATTCCTGGCACACTGAAAAATTTCTACACATATACCGACCCATACAAACTCAACAAGTGTGATTCTGCGACCCTTCTGGTTGCCATAAAAAAATTATCAATGTTACTTGTAATGTAACATTCATTGCATATCTGGAACCGAAACTATCACAATGAGAACTGTAATGGTTGGACACAAATGAAAACTACACCAAAACAAAACACAGATACAACAAACACCAAATTATGGGAGTGGGTTCGAACTTTGTGCATAGTGGACTACAACAATGAGAACTGTAATGGTTGGACGATTACAAATGAAAACTACACCAAAGCAAAACACAAATAGTACAAACACACACCAAATTATGGGGAGCGGATTTGAACTTGGGTGCAGTGCGGAAGGTAGGCACATTGCCTTAGCCAACTCGGTTACGCCCTCATCCGTCCTCTTATTATCACTTCGTACTACTACACTAGCATATTTCCTGAACCATTCATGAGTCCCAAAATCGGGTTTGTTTTGAGGTCATCGGGGAGTCTGCTCCACCATTCCTGGAAGGTTGATGACTTCAACACATCCTCGCGGAGAACCCCGTCCTGAATCCATTGTCCTATTTGTCTCTGAAGTTTGATGACCCTCTCTTTCTCCTTGTTCACTGCCGGGAGGTCACCAGAAAGTTTGTGCAACTCCTCCAACTCTGCCCAAAAGCAGGACTCCCCCCGGGAACCTGCTGCCAGTTTTTCTTTGTGCTCGAGCCATCTTTGTGCGTATTTGTAACGCTTTGGCCTGCCTCTCTTCATATAGACTCCGGTGTCTTCGCCCTTTGCGTGTCTGTAGAAGTTAGCAATGTCAAGAGGCTCGACAAGGTGGCGAAATTCAGTTCCAAGCTTTACCCACTCTGGTATAGCCTCAAATTCATCAGGAAGATCATATTTTTTCAGCATTTCAGTAATCTCATCCCATATGGCTGCAAGCACAAGCCTTGTCACATTTGCTTCGAAATCAGTTTTGTGCTTTTGAAGCTTGAACGCGTCGTAGTATCCCACATTGTGCTCGTACAAGTCTCGGTAATCTTGCAGTTTTTTCATTTCTGTCTTCATTTCTTCCTTTTTAAAATCAAATTTGCCCTTGTTTCTTTGTTTTTGCTTCTCGAATACTCCCGCTGCACGAAGGCATTGTCTAGCTCTTGCACTCTGCAATGTTACAAGAAAAATATCTGAGCATGTTAAAGACCCAAACAATAAAACATAGGGCCCGTGTGATAACCCTTTCATTTTTATTTTCAAGTACAAATGGATATCGGGAAAGAGTACTTACCAGGCCAAGGTCATCAAAGATGCCATCTGAGGCTAAGGCAACCGTTTCTAAGTTATCGTCACAAGTAACACTCTGCATCTCCAAGCTGCCTTCAAGTTCATCTTTGTATCCCAAATGCTGGTTCAAGCATTTATTGGCGATTGTTTCCCATTCACTTTCGTTGCTTAATTGACAAGTAAAGAACAAGAGTTGCAACACAGCTTCAGGGTTTTTCAAGACAACCAGCTTTCCATTCCCGGTACAGAAAATATAAGTGCCGAAAGGTTTGTAAGGGCTTAGCTCAAGGAAATTCGCTACAGTTTCGAGTAATAGATTTGGACTCCCCATTAGTTTAGAGGCGGCACTGCTTGCAACAGATGATGCATTGCTCATCACATTTGCAAACAATTGCAAGGCCTCCGAGGATGATCCAATCGATTGACTCGCGTAGTTGGGGGAATTTGGATCGAAGAAGGGGATGATTTTCTCGAATTCTTGACGAATGGATGACAGGGGAGCAAGCAGAATTCGAGGGACAATGTCATACCTCATGACAAAATTTATGAAGTATTGAGACCAATTTTCCCTCCTAAGAGCATGAGAAATAAGGTGGTCACCAATAAGGGGAGATCCGAAAGTCACACAGAAGAATGATCCATTGTTTTCGTTCGGGAAATTTTCCAAGAGCCAGATTGTGGCAAGCGCAGCAATTGCGCCGCCGATAGAGTGGCCGGTAAGTATTATTCTCATCCCATTATTGATAGCCTCTTGCACCTGACAAAATTAAGAGTAGATGAGAACACTTGAATTACAAAAGATTTGGCCCGCAACACATCATACATATATGCCTCAAACGTCACTGTAATATGCTCAACCTAAATCCAACCTGTTAATTTGTCTTGTCTAAATATATAAATTCAAACTCATTTGCAAGTTTTGCGTGTATCATGTTTCACCTGTCTCTTTATTTTTTATTTTCGTCAATTGAACATAAAAACAAAAAATACTATGAAATAATATCAAGTATAACATCGAGAACACGCCTTAAAATACCGTAAAAACTAATGCCGGACATATTACATAACAAAAATCCAATAATTTTCCCAAAAAAAAAAAAAAGAATATGGAAGCACATCACATGAAGATAACGCGTCGTTATTGTGTTTCGCAAATGAACACTGAACCTCACTTGTCCAACAAGACTTGACTCGAACACTTGATTTTTCATCTTCGAGCTCGTTTAGATATGCTTTTAAAATAACTAAAAGCATTTTTAAAGAAAATATTTTTAGGTTCCAAAAGCATGCTATCTGCAAGAAACATCAATTATATGCTTTCTTTTAGGAAGCACTTCAAATGCTTTTCTAAGATTTACTTGCATTTTTACTAAGCATCAGTTCTAAAAACATTTTTACCAAAAATGTTTTTGATTATTTTAAAAACACATCCAAACAAGTTATGACGTGGTACATTATTTTTTTCCATGTCTAGACACACACACACACAATTAGACTAGAATTACCTACTCTGTAACACACGAACAAAATTCAAGAGCACCATAGCAATTCATGTGAAAGTCCAAAATTACATCAAATTCAAACAACACACCTTAGCTTTCAGCTGGGAATTCTCCAACACATGTTTAAATTTGTTAAGAAATGCTTGGTTGATAGTTGCAGTTGCCAAGTCTTTCTCTTCTGGCTTTCCAGCTGGGTCATAGTTCCCGACACTTCTCAAGGAAGGAAAGAGTTGGAGATCGGCTTTTGCTTCTCCGAAAGCACTTCCTCCAGAATAATAACTCTCCACAGACGAAGATCCTGCAGGAAAGCTGAAAACAACATCTGATGATCCAGATTTCTTCACAAGAAACAGATCACCTGGTGATTTCTGAGTATTCAAGGACAAGCTTTCCAGTATAAGCTCTTCACTGATTTGCAACATGTCTCCAAGCCTTTGAACAACCATTTTTCCGAATTTTGGTATTTTTCTGGTTTCAGATGCTCTTTGCTTTGGGCTTGCTTTAAAGAGAAGCGTTGAAGATGGTGGGGTGGATTCGAAATTACATAACTATCCTTGAAGGATTGACCAAGACTTTGAGGTTTAAATATGTCTACTTGTACTATATGTCAAGCACAATTTCCAGGAACCTGTCCTGAATGTGATTATTTTTTATTTGTAACTTTATATCATTTGGTTTAGGCTTCCTTGGAAAGATTCTGCAGGAAAGATTAGATTAATGCTTTATTTACTTTTGTTGCTGTATTGCAACTTGCAAGGTCCTTGCCTTCCATTTTCTTTGAATGTTCCCTTCTTTTGCCTTGTTTTCTTCTCTTGCGCTCCTCCAATTTTTCCTTGTCTTTTGATTTGTTCAATTTAAAACCTAGATAAATGGGGGAGAAAGAGACCGTTGTATTCGCTCATGGTCACTAAGACGTCAATAAACATGTAGTAAACAACGATGTATATAGGGATAATTTTGTCAATTTAGTCTCTCCAATGCCTTTTTTAATTAAATATTTTTTAACTTGCTCTGTTTGTACGTATCTATCCAGTATCATCCTATAGAGAAATTTTTCATTGTGACCGGAACATGAGTGGTACATCACATGTTTTTATAAAAGTGTTGGGAAATTCTATTTTTAAAGTTATTGACTTTTTTAATACATATATTATATCATTTATATAATGAAACATGTTGTACCATTCCGTATTCTTTACATTTAAAAATCTATCATTGCCATGGCTTTAGGCAGTTATTTTGTGATTTCAAGGCCCTTGCCGTCCACTTTCCTCGAAGGTTGTGTTACTATTGACTCTTGGGGAATGTCACTTTTTGCTTGCAGATGTGAAATTTCTGTGAAATTGAGCAAGAGAGGACAGAAGACTTCTGGTTTAATTTTCTTATAGTCGGTAGGTGACTAGGAAATATATCGGGAAATCGACGTATCGATTGGAGTTTACTATCGTTGTACCGTCCAACTATTACAATTTTTTATTAGAAGTTTGTAAATGGCTTTTTTTATGCGTATTTTAGAGATTTTAATAGTTTTTTTTTTTTTTAATACAAACTTCAAAGAATTTTAATAAACTTTATAACTCTATATGGATTTTCGTGAATTTATATGAATTTCTATTATTAATTTGTAAGATTTCTTTTATGAATTTCTTAAAATTTGAAACAATTGAAAATCACACGCAATGACATCATGTCATTTTTTAATGGAATCCTACGATTGGAATTAAAACTCCCTCATCACAACGCACGCAGAAGCACTCATGTCTCGCAAAGGAGAGCAACAGTAGAATATTATTTCAAGAGCCTTTCAGTAAATTGATATAAGGCAATAAACTCCAACTAATGGAATGAGGGATCTTGCATGTTCTTATAAATAATTGAGCTACTCTTTATATTATCAATTAGATTCTTGGTGGAGCTGTGACTTTCTCCAATTACTTTATTTGGAGGTTAGGACAAATTATTGGGTTGAGAGAGGATGTAAGCTTCTGAATTTTTATGTCTTTCATAAACAGATTTGTTAGTTGGTCCTGAGCTCGATTTGCCCTTCCTTACTGTGTGTGTATATAATATCGTTTGTAATGTTTTGTGAACCTCAAAATCAATTGTAACATTTTCATTCAAATTTACTTCCTTCGTTATTGAAATCCAAAATATTTGAGACATGTAGATAAAGATGGTAGATTCTAGCAAGTAATTTTAGGTTGAGAGAGAGAAGGAAGAGCAATGGCTTAGCAATGACTGGATTTCCCAGAGAACATGGTAGAGAGGTGGGCGTGGTGAGAGAGAACTAGAGAAGCTTGAAAAGAAATTCTAGGGGTGGAGATGAGATTCTTTATGCCCAGTTTGGTATTGCTTTTTTTCACCAAAAATTGTTTCACTTAAAGTTAAACAGTAACAAAGTGTTTGTTAAAAATACAATATATTGCTTATTTTAAAAGTAATGACCTCCAGATAGCAGCTTTTAAAAGCAGTATGTAAGTTGCTTTTAAAAGTTACTTTAATAAAAAGCGGAGTTGAACTTTAAAAATATCTTCAATTCTAGTAATAATCTCATTTATTTTAAACAATGACGTCATTTATCCTTCTAAACACTGCTTTTACACAGTTTTTCATACTCACAACACTTTTGGAAATATAGTTTATCAAACACTCAATTGCTTTATTTTCCAGCTGATTATTCTTAAAGCACAACAAAAACAATTTATTAAAAAAACACAGCAATCCCAAACTGGCCTTAAGTCTTTATTATGCAAAATATTCGCTCTTAAATTTTACAAAATCTCCTACTTATTGAAATTCAGACATTTTGAATACCTATAATTTTTATAGACTCTTTAAAAGGATTTTTATAATCCTAATTGACTACACTTATATTTGGATGCATTCTTTTAAATCCTGTTAAATACTACTTTGACTACACCATGATTTTAAAGTTCTTTAAAATGATCTTTTAGCCACTTAGTAATACGGTTTAATGATATTCCTCTTCACTTGTAAGTAAGAGGTCTTAGGTTCAATTCTCACTAAAGGTGAATTTGAACCACATTATTGTAAACTCATTATGAGACTTAACTCACTTTCCCACCCCTCTTAGGGTATATAACATCATTTATTATAAAAAATAAAAAATTACTTTAAAATCTTAACTGACTACACCAAAGTTTTTTAAGATTCTTTCAAATCATAATTTGACTACCCTCCCTCCTAAACATGGTTAGCTGAGAAAATGCAGGAAAAGGTAAAAAATGCATAGAAATTTAATAATTCTAGCAAAACTATATTACATCAGCTTCAGAATTCATCTTCTGATTCACTGGAAGATGTCCATGACACATCTGAAACAAAATGTGAGTGAAAGTTCATCAACCCCATTGATGTTATGCTTGAAAGTGACAGTGGCGGTGACGATGATCCTACCACTTTCGTAGAACTCTTATTCTGTAGTTTACTTGAAATTTCTGCACAAACAAGAGTAACCATGTCTAGAAAATCTTTCACAATAACAAACAGCTGAAATGGTGCAGCTCCTTTGTCTCTCGAAGCTCCTGCTTGGTAGTACTCGGTTGTTTTCCTCACAAGCTCCATAACCCTAGTTTGCTCTTCTCTCACCACCGTGAGCTCCGCCTCACATTCCTCCAAAAACCCCTTCATTTCTCTTGCAAACCCTCCTCTCTCAGCATTGCCACTCTTTGCCAAAAGCTTCTTGATTTCGCTGACACGGTTGCTTAGAGCAGAGCACATGTGGATGAAGCTGTCATACTCTGTGGTTGCTGCTTTCTTCACATTGGATAGTTCAGTGCTCAATCCTTCTAGCTTTGACAATCCTTGGATTAAGTACTCTTTTCTTCGCTCTTCAGTGGTTAGATTATCCGAATTCAGTGTACTAGTTTGGCTTCTTTGACTAGTGTTTCTTCCAAAGTTGCGGTTTTGATTTATCACGAAACATCTCCCCTCGGATTGAGCTACTTGTTCAACCACAAAGTGAAGTAGAGTAGTCTTTCCATCAGTACTTTTGATATCGGATAGCTTTAGAAGAGCACTTAGGTTGAAGCCTTGTGCATTGCCTCTTGCAGTTCCAGCATTCATTCTATTGCCAGCTTTGAGAATTGCCTCGAGAAGCTTTAGGAAGAGCCCGCGAGTTCTTAGCTCCTTGCACCCAAGTTCAAGTGTTTGCAAGGACTCCTTGAGGTGAAGGACTTCAAGATCATAGTTTGCTCTGAAGAGCATCGCATTGAAACGCGTGAATGCCGAAGGAACAGCCTTCAAAATGTGGTAGAGGAAAGATTCACCAAGTGCTAGTTTACTAGGGTTTCCATTGAATTGGAGGATTTTTGCTTCTTCCTCTTTGGTTGGAGAAATTTTGGTGAGCTTTTCTAGTGTATCAGCACCAAGTCCTTGTCCATCAAGCAGGGCAGTAACGATTTCTTTTTGAGAGATTGCGAGAGATCTTAGCACGATTGCGGTGTTCTGAGACTTTTTAGGATCTAGGATGAAAATTTGAGATGTTGGTGCAGAGTTAGGTTTGCTTGAAGCTGAAGGCATGTGGTTGTTTCTCTCAGAGGATTGGTTTTTAATTTTGGAATATCCAAAGAGATTTTCCATAAGCTCATCATCAAATCTGCATAAAACATTCGAACTTGTCTAAGTTATGATCATGTGACATGAAACAAAAAGTAAGATGATATGCTCGTTTAATAACCATTTCAGTTTTTCGGTTTAAGTATAATGTAATAAGAGTGAGACTTGATTACCTGAATGATCCATCATTGATTTGATCCCAAACCATTGAATGATCAGCGGCAGCCATAACCTTATCCCAGTGCAGCGGCTTCAGCTTCGTTTGCCCGCCACCGGTTGCTTTTAAACCCTCCTCCCCTGTTGAGGTCTCTGCCCTGCTCTTGTAGCTTGCTCTGCCTCTAGGTGCAGGCGGCGGTTTTAGTGACAAACCCAAACCACCTGCCTTAGGAAGCGGCGGAGGTGGTAGAGGATTCTTTTTTACCATAACAGGTGGCGGAGGCGGTGGTGGTGGAGGAGGTGGAGGTGGAGGTGGTGGTGGTGGCGGCGGTGGCGCAGATTTATCGTTTGCCGGTTGAGCATGCTTTTCCAACACTTTTGGTGAAATTTTTCTAAGTAGAGGTCTTGGAGGATGTAGAGAAAATGGTTTTTTTACCAACTGATCATGATTGATTAAATCAGACGGCTTAGAATCCACCCTATTTTCTTCTTCTTCATCATCATCATCTTCAAAACTAGGGTTAAACATAATCTTTGGAAAATTTGTATGAGCATGTCCAGCCTCTAATTTCCTCAAGTATATAACATCCACACCATTCTCGTCAACAATTAATCCCTTCACATTCCCACCACATTGCCTCAACTCCTCGCGATTCATCGCCACTTCTTCGCGGCGAAAACTCCCATTTTCCTTGCCTTTTGTGTTGCGGCGAGCAGCGAGGAGTCTGTAGACGAAGAACAAGATTCCGGCAATAACTAGAGTAGCTACAGCTGTTGCTGCAATAGTCTCGGCAAGTATTGTTCCTTTGGACTGTGGCATTGCTAGGGTTACACACCTGAGAGACCACTAGAGAATAATCCGGAAAACTACTTCCTAGAAAAGCAGTTGGATAACTAGTGCTTTTGGAAAAAGGAGGACCAAAAGAACAGGTTTATTTGTTGGGTTTTTTTTGGATGATGAGTAACTTCAGTTCATTTGTTTCGGTGCTGGTTGTTGACAGTTTCAATGAAGGTAGTTGTTTGCCTTGTTGATGTTGTTTTAATGAAATTACTGGAATAACCTTGATGGGGCAGTGCAGCTACAAGTTCAAAGGGAAGAGGTCGGATTGTAGCCATGGAGGTTTGTGTCATTTTGTAACGAGGGGGGGGCTAGTGAGCAATTGGCAGATGGCGGGTGGAGGTTTTTGTTAGCCGTCCTTGAATTTGCAGTGTTGTAGATTACGCCAAATGCAGGAAATTGGAGATGTTGGTGGGATTCTTAATTCCATGTATGGAATATGGGTGGATATTAATTTTGGATTCATAGCAGAATTCCAAATTCCAGCTGGTGAATTAAAAGTTCGTTGACATCATAAACGGAAATATACACAAATAGAATGAGTTTCGAATTTTTAGTGAAAATAGAATCCGATGAACACTAAAAGGGTCAAAAGATGGGCACTGAATTACGGTAGTTTATTGTTGGTTAAGTGTTCTTCATGTTCTATTTTGATGAAAGTTTTGTATCAGATTTTATTTTGTGACAAGACGTCTGTAGTTGTAGGTCAAGTAGTTAAGAGCATTTATCTATGCACTTAAGGTCTTTTGTTTTTGTTTCGTCTTCATTGTTTAGTAGGATGTGCATGGCGATGGTGATAGAATAATGTATAACCATCTTTGCCTCCATCTCCACGTATATTATATTCTATTAGCATTGTTTGGTTGTTAAATTATAATAAAAAAGAAAATATTGAAATGTGCTTAATTATTCGTTATTAACAAAGTTAAACGAGCCTGCAATATGCCATAGGGCTTCAGCAAAGCTCACCACAGTTGTATGGAATTAGTGCTGCAATCGAAGTACATGGATTGCATTTTTAGTTTTTGAAATATTGATCATTCGTAATAAAAGATATACTAAAATTACGCACATAAACGACTGTAAATTGTTGATGTAGAGTTCGTCTCACGACGCATCACCAACGATCTAACATGCTCAAAACGCATCCTTGGTCTACACTCACAACGGATCAATGGTCCACCAAACGCGGAGCAAGAATTTATATAGGAACGGGCTGATATTTTCCCTTGTTATGAGAGAATGAAGTGTAATTTGGTTTATGATGGGCTAAAATGCAGTAGGGTACTCTTCCCTGGCGGTCCACAATTACCTATACACGTGACCCATTTTGCAACAATGTCTCAGGGCGGATCCACCATTGGGCAAGGTGGGTCGGCTGAACCCTTCAAAGTTTTAAAGTTTTCAACGGGAGAGTCGGGTGTTGTTTTTTGAAAATATCAGATGCTTTTAAAAAGCTGGCCTTTAATTGTTCGACGAATTGTCTTTATGGGTATTGAGCAAGGTAGCTACTAAAGTTGTTCTCTAATTGCTCGACGAATTGTCTTTATGGGTACTGAGCAAGGTAGCTACTAACCTCATGAATTTGTATGCGTTGCTATATTTTGATAGGCTCACTTGGCATATGTTGGCATCTATGGCATGCTCGTCCAAAATCTATTGCCATTAGTCAATATGCGCTTAGTGCAGTTGACATCTGTCGACAAACGTGCTGTATGACTTGACAAATGACCTCAAAACCTACCTTGATGAAATACCAATTTACATGCTATTCCATCCCAATAATTTTTCTTAGGCCCGGTATTGTCTCATTGTCACTTGCAAATGCTTGGATGACCGATGCTAACATACTCTCTAACAAATGCTTAACCTCATGGTCAAAAAGGATTAAGCCTTCATAGACATGGAAAGCTACTGAACCATGTCTGGTTCAGACGATATGACCCTTTGTGGTCCCGCAAAAACGAAAGAAGGAAAGCATTGGAGAAGCCTCATGAAAGGAATCTCATATATTGATTGGGTCCCTTGTAACCAGTGAGGCTAATGATTCAAAGGTTCTACATCTCTCCTTGCTCGTCTTTAAAGCCAAAAAAACAGTTTGCTGGATTTCCCTTAAAGATCGTACATTCACACGTTTACCTCAAATCTTTCCATCGTGGCCCCATTGACAAAACATTTGGCATCAAATTAGGGTTTTCAGAAGCAACATGCATAAACACATCACGTGAAATTATTCCATTATTCCAACACCAAAGGGTAAAAATTGACACCAAATCGGATACTGAATCATTTGAATGACTGTACACCATCAGTTGGTCTAGCGCCATGTTCCCATTTAGTTGTAGAATATCGTTTGATTGACGGATAGAAGAACGGTACATATAGTGAATTTGATATTAAGCTATTAGATAATTTAACGGCACCTAGTCTTTATTTAGTTGTAGAATAACATTTGTATTTGCACAGCTAGAACCATATACTGAGTTTGATATTAAAGTTGTCAGATAGTCAATTTATTGGCATTCAGGTTTAATTTAGTTGTAGAATATTGTTGAACTCATACGTAAGGACCACACACGCGCGCGCGCACACACACATACACATACATATACACACACGTAATGAGTTCAACATTAGGTTAAATCGGTGATAAAATTATCTTTGTAAATATTATCTTTCGTAGAAAAAGAAAATCATTTGCGTGGTTGGCAAGAAAAATACAACAAAGGAATAAAGATCATTGAGACAACACAATATTCCCCTCAAATGTCTGGGATTTTCATTGATTGTTTTTAGATTTCCGTCTGCAAAATCAACTAAAAAAGTAGGAAGCAAAAGGACTTTTTAATACAAGACTTTCATATATGTCTGCTCTTTCCCCCCTTCTTTTTCCTGGTCCAAGTGAAATTTTGATGCTGGAATTTACATATGGCAGTGGAAGAAAATTCACGCACATTGGCAACAGGAATTTCTCTGTTCTGCAAAATGGGGGGCGCTGTGTGTCAAAATGTGGAATTACAATAACCCTAATGGCTGACATAACGATCAATCCATCGTGTGCAATCTCGGTCTCTTTGACGAACATCGTGGCAATGACGATGATGGTGACAAAGGTGGTAGCTGAGACGATGCTAGATTGCAAGCGAACGGTTGCGAAAGTTGTGGTAAAGAGGAGGGAGATGATGATGCATTGTAGTCAACTGAAAATGTTCTTTTGTGAATCTTTTTCTCTTCGGTTTCTTTTCTTTCTCCTGCCAGCATGAAGTTTTTTAAACGGTTCACGTCGGAAAGCTTCACCGGCTTCACTATATATTCCTCAGCTCCTTCCTCTAAACATCTGTAAAACAAATTTGTAAGAGATTGATCAGTCAAAGAACATAGGTAACAGACATTAAGCACCAAAAAGAAAGATGATAACTCATGATCGTCTCGAAACTTAGTTTAGTGAGAGACTTTCCGGCACCTATAGGACTGTAGCGTCCAAAAACCATGATACAATGTCACGTGAAAAAGTTAAAACACATTCGGCGTATGATGGACCTTAAGCTAACACTATCTTATAGAATAAGACATCATGCCCATGAAAAATGTACGCGGCAGATTTTGCCCGTTAGACTCCATGAAGGGGCAATGAAATGGGGGCCATAAACATGGGGGAATTTATTAAATGATTAATACCTGGAAAACATAATAATAATTGTTATTTTTAATATAATTGAACCAACCATGTTAGGTCATTATTTTATAAGATTTGGTTGATCCCCAAAAGATTCACCACTAAAACTGGTGCCTAACATATTTTTCATAATTTCGAAAAAACACCAATATTTTCCTATAATTTAAAATTTTGGTCCATTTTTAAAGAAATTTTAGGTCTGCAGATCATGAAGATCAGAATACAGAATAATACACACTGATCAGACAAAAAGATAAAAACAAAATGATCCGGCAAACTAATTAAATGTTGATTTAGATCAATAAGAATCCCCTAAATCCAATATCGTAAATCGAAATCGTAAATTAATAGATAATCATGCAAAAACGACAGATTATATGAATTACTCACAATTATAATCTTTGTGTGATTGCTCGATCGTTATGTATAATTGTTTTAATTACCAAATTTCATAGGATTATATAGCTAATTAACAATTATAATCTTTCTGGCTTATGATTAAAAAACAAATCAAGTAACAGTAAAACATAAAACAGACATACCTATCAATACGAGTAAGGATGTTTTCCGATGACATGATCACCACCGGAACTTCTCGAAAAGCCGATGATTCCTGTTCATATGCAGATCAAAAAATTAATCTCCAAGTAACAGCCATGATAAACTCAGAATCCAATTGTAAATATTCTATTTTACTCCTTAATCATGATTAAAACAAGATTAAAGGGCTAACCTTGATTTTCTTTAGCAGTTCATATCCTGTCATCCCTGGCATTGAGTAGTCCGTTATGATCAAATTCACCTTCATGTTCTGCAACCACAAAAAAAAAAGGTACATAAACGTAAGAAAACCGCCATAAAACCAAAACAAGACGTTTCATTTTCCGTTTGGCAGCTGAGAAAATGTCATATTTTTCCTTCATTTTCTCGGAAACCAAACTGATTCAAGGCAGAAGTTTTCTTACATCAAATCCAACCGAGCTCTTCTCTCCATCCAAGCCCAGATACTCCAGAGCTCTCGTCCCACTGTCAACGGCCGTCACTGCAAAAGAAAATTCAAATCGTTCATAAACCAACCAATCAAAAAACAACATTTCTCAGAAAAAATAAAAAACCAATCCGGGGTGTATGCGTACCTTTGCAGGATGATATCTTTAGCAGGCGTTCAATGACCTTCCGGTCCACGTGGCTGTCATCCACAGCAAGAACATGCAGCTCGCCGGAACCCATCTGCGAATCACCAGAAAGATCAAAACTTTCGGTCAGATTCCGCCTGAGAATCTCGCCTGCCGTCGCCATTGAGCTTAAGAGGGCGTCAGGTGAAAAGGCTCAGCGTGGAAAGCGTAAAAGGAACCAGAGGAGAAGAAGAATAAAGTGTTTGAAGAGTTTGTTGTGGCGTTAAGAGGAAGGTGAGTGATATATTATAGTGGGGAGAGGCGTACGAAATGGGAAATAGAAAGAGGTGGGTGGGTGTTGCTTTAAATGGGCAAAAGGCTAAAGCTGAGATTCTGAGGATCCGATATATCTCTGAGATTTTCTTTTCTCTTTGCAAATCTAGCTGAGAGGATTACTTGTCTATTGTCCTGTCAATCCTTGTGTTGGTATGTATTTACTCGAGTTTAATAGGTGAAGTTTTCTGAGTGTTACTATGCGTTGTTATTAATTGATATGTTATAATACAAATAAAAATAGTAATCTATTTTTCTACCAAGTTTATATGTAAATCAATACTATTTCATTGGTATATTTACTCGGGTTTAATAAGTGAAATTTTGTAATGTAACTGTGTGTTGTTATTAATCAAAGTATTATAACAAGAGTAAAGGTGGTGATCTATTTTTCTAACAAGGACGAATCCAAACCAATGCTACTTATAGGAGATTGGATTTGAATTTTAGTGCAAAAAATAATAAGCATATTGACCTGACCAACTGGTATATACTATATTTTGTACATCATGGTTGAAGTGTCATGAATTTAAGTAATTGTGTTAGTAAAATTACTAATAGAGTGTCCAAATCCGGGTTTGCTTAAGTTGGTGCTCCACTTTCTTCACTCAACTTTGAATCTCTACATGTGTAATTTAAATGAATTATTATATCATTTATGAAAAAGTAAAAACAAATATAAAGAATAAAGTTTAACTCTTACTTATTGTAGTGCGCAATTTTTTGGTGTTACTGTTTGTAAAGAAATAGTGTAAGTACTCTAATCTCAACATGACACTACTCACGTGAGTGCAATAACATGTAACCTTTACACTAGGCTTGAATTTGTGCGTATGACCTCACAAATGTTGATTCGAGTATCAGACCTAAGATTTTATCTTATCCTATCGATGTAGAATCCTGACTTATATACAAAACCAACTAATCTAACTTAAAATCAGCATATAAACGTAAGTAACCAATGAAATGAAATATCGTAAATTACTTGTGAAAATGGTCACCGTCACAGAAAATGTATAAGGTTCGCTTTGATTTGTAAAATCTATATTGAGATTTGTGGGGTTACAGTAGAAAGGTGGTGTCTTTTTGACTTGGTTGCATGCAGCTCCAACTAATGCAGTTTCTCGATTTCAGATTTAATGATTTCTGTTCCAATCCATTGTGCTGAATCCAATGGTCAAAACCTAGCTAAAATGTGGATCATATGGATGAACACCCATGGACCCATGACCCATCCATGCCTAGTGACAACAGACAATAAACATTGTGATTATTTGAATTTGACTTCAAGTCCTTGTTTTGTAACTTTGAAAATTCAAAACTGGTTAGTCCACAATAATTCGTAGCGTCGTTTAGTAGTATTTAATTTCACTTATAGGTAAAAGGTTTTATCTTTAAGTCTCGTCAAAGATGAATCTGAACTAAAATATTATGGCTAACCCATTGCGAGGTTTAACATACTCTCTTTATCCTTAGTGTAGATAATATCGAATGTATATAGAAAAATCAGTTGAACCATGACAAATCTTTCAATAGTATATTTGTTCCATATTTTTCCATAATTTTTTTATTAAATATTGGAAATACAATGTTTAAGATGAATAGAGAGGATTTTAGATAAGTAAAATTTCTAAACTACGGATCTAATTTTTTACGAAATTACTTGATTTGGATTATGATCAAACTGTTCTAACGAAGTTTTATCACGTGGAAGAGTTGAAAAATGTGTTAGGAATAAAAAAGTTGAACTGTATAGCATCTTTCTATATCTTTTGGTTGGGGTTGGAGGGGCATTTGACTGATTTATGAGCCATGTCATATCTACTCAACATCTTGGGGAGATGATTCATAGTTAAATGACAGATTTGGGTTAGCTGTGATCTAACCATGGTCTCCTACATATGGCCAATTAATTAAAATTAGCATGGAAGGTCTTGGAAATATTGGATTAGATGGATATGGCTCTGCAGTTCTTCGTAAATTTAGGAAGAGGATCCTTTCCGGATTTGCCTAATAGGCATTCTATGAATTTTCACATCATAGTTGTTTATCATACATCGTATGTTCAGTTTTCGTCAGGTACTATTTGTGTTTAATTTTAAATAAAAAAAGTTAAATAATTTATGACCTCATTATGTACAGTGAATGATTAAAATGTGAGGATCGTTAAAATCCCCACAATTAGAATCCGGAATCCAAATTCATAAATTTGCCAATAAATAAGATATTCATCCATTAAAATATTGAATTAAGCACCTGGTTTTTCGAGGAGGATCCCATTGTATGTTGTTTATTTTTTAGTCATATATTTTCTCCTTTTTAATTATTGAAAGTTTGAACTTTTCCCTTTTTTGGATCTCCCAGTACGAAATCTACGGATTGAAAATTTTGAACCATAAAGCGAGGGAGAGAGAGATTTAGACTCTTTGTTTATATGAGGTGGGCCAAAAAATAGGCTAAGAGGACGGTAAGATTTAAAATAAGTGATTATGATTTCTTGTTTCGTCGACTCTGAGATTGAATAAGATCTCGATTCAACTTTTACCACTAATGCTGCACTATGTGAAAAATGAGTTTGGTATGGTGGTAGTGCATAAAAATACTTGGTCAGAAAATAAGGCATAGTTTACTTGGACTCAAACAGCTCCCAAGTTCATTGGTGCTTGCAAAGGATATACACTTGGAAAGTGGGCTATTAACTAATACAGTAAACTGGAGTACTGGTTTTTAAATTATGAGTTAATTGTAGTTTTAATTTCTGAACTAAAAATTTATTAAAATTAGTACTTGAACTTGACAAAATGTGAAATATCGGTCATCGGAGGCAAAAGACGTGAGGACTTACATTAAAATTCAGCACATGACACATGGGATTAAAAGAGACATACGCACAACTCTTCGATTTACTACTTGAAAGGGGGTCACGTTCATTTCATGTGAAGTTGGAAATTCTCAAGGAGATTAATAAAAATGACCCATACTTCACATTACGTCAATTTTATTTTAATTTTAATGAATTTTTAATTGCGCAAATAAACCTACAATTTGATCATTGTTCAAGGATCAATGCTTAAATTTACTCTATTAAAATTTACGAGACGACTATGGTGTAATCATATTACAAAAAATTATCAAATGCGAGATAAATCCAGCAATTGAATTGAATATTGTAAGTAAATCCAACAATACTAAAAACTGCAAATTTTATCATTTTTATGAGGTTAGGCAAATAGTCAGATAAACATAAACCACTTGACTAGTTTACATTGTGTCGATCGATCAACCAATCACTGAAAATGAAAAATCCCAAATCCCATGAGATCCTTATTCTCAAGAGAAGTAAAAGACAAGAAAGAAAGTTGTATCCGCATGATTAGGATACCTCTGGAATTGATCTTATTGTAAAGTCATGAAGGATGAATCAATTCAAATTGTTCATCATCATAATTTCAGTCTGCTAAATCTGAAGGCCTCCGATCTCCCACTCAAAAGCTTCCACCTCTTTATCCAATTTTGACCAATATCTTAAATTACATTTTTGAAAGGCCCCAACTTAAAATTTTTTTTTTTCAACTTTAAGTTTGATTTTCTTTTGGATGTGTCGATGACGTTCACTCCGAAGCGCAGAGTCCAACACCGACGACATCAAAATTGGCGAAGAAAATTGGAAAGGGTTCCTCCGGATTCATTTCATCAAATTCACTTAAAATTATTTAATTTGAAATTTTAAAATTTAATTAAATGACTAAAGTTATTATAATTTTTAAAATCACCCTCTACTTGTAATTGTTAAATTAAATTTTAAAAAATTAAATTAATTAATTGGATGAATTTGATAAAAAGAATCCTGAAAAGATACCTTTTCAAGAAAATTTAGTTTGAAGGGTCACTTCCCCCAAATATATATAAATTTCGTACGGACACGACATATTTTGGATTATCAAAGTGGGGCCCACTTTTCACTGTGGAGGAATGATGGAGAGAGAGAGAGATTGATTATCCGATTTGATTCTCTCTGCTGAGCAACCTCCATTTGCGTGAAGTGAACAGTGAGATCTTAAATTAATAAATAACTAGCGTACAGACATACACTGTTTGAGGAAATTTTTTTTTTTTGTTTTTGAAATAGAAAGAAAAAGGAAAAGAATGATAAAGAATGTGGGAATGAGAATTTTTTTTTTAAAATTTAAATTTAAATTTTTTTTAAATTAGAGATATGTTCAGATTACATGTAGGTGAGGTTTTGAAAAAAATCAGAAAAATTTGATTGTGTGAAATTACATTTTTGTTCTATATTTCTTATTCATGTTCTGTTTTAATTAAAGGGTTAAAATGATAATTTCATAGGATTTGACAATGAGTATTTTATTAATTAGTAAAGACAATACTCTGTTTTTATCTTTTTCCTTTTATAAAATAAATTAATTAATAATATAGGCCATGAATAATCTGATTTATGAACAAGGATCATTTTCAGATTCTTTTTATGGAAATCTAAAAATCAATCATTCGTATTTATTTCTCATACATTATGCGATGAGAAAGAGAATCCAAAAACAATCTATCTCCTAATTTATTAGTGATTTGCCAGGCACTTTGGTGGTGGCCTTTGGAATTTGATCTGTTGATCGACCTTGATTCTTGCAGCCGATCAAATATATTGTACGTGTCCACAGTTGTTGCAACAGATGAGAGTTTATATATACGTGGTTTTCAAAAATGATGCACCACAAATCTAGAAAGATAGAAACACTGTTTTCGGTTCTCCTTGAGTCCACATTTCAGTATCATTTGGATCTATATGGCTTTGAAAGAAAAGAGATGTACAAATGATTTAAAAAACATCTCACCATAAAATCATTTAAATTCACGCTGAATCACTAACTGTTTGATCTTAATACAACAAGAAGAGAAAGTATAACACAAAAATGATCACTTACTATTTGATTGAGATCGAACAATGAGAGACTATTATTGCTTTAGACCACGAGGTCCACGAGAACAGGCGTGCAAACAACACTATTAAGATTATTGTTCTAAAAATCCTGGCTTAGGGT